GCACTTATATTTCTTAAATTTAAGTATATATTATTAACTTTTATTGTGATTAAACGTTCTTAAACGTTTTATTTTCATCTTAATTGATCTTTATTATGACTAATTAATAATAATATTTATTATTATTAATAGGTCGTTACAATGTGATATAATAAAGAAAGCGCTTTTGAACAGGCTCTATTCTATCGGAGTGAACCGCATAACCAGGATTCCAGACAACGCAACAATATTCTAAAATGCTGCGTACAAGCGAATTATAAATGTGAATCGATAAATTAGCATTATTAAAAATATTCATCTGTCGAACTTTAAATCCTGATAATTGTGATGCTTTTTTAATAATAAAATCAAAGTTATATCTAAACGTAAGAGATCTGTCCATAATAACTCCCAAATCACGAATATTGTTTACTTCCGATAAAGGTAACCCATTTATGGAATATGTAGTAGGAAGTGGGTTTTTTTTTCCTAGTGAACTTAATGTGGTAACATTTGCTAACGTTTAATGTCATCAGATTTTCGGTACACCACTCACTTAATTGGTTAAGATCGTGCTGTAAAATAACTCTGTCATCATCATTCCTAATAATTCTATAAATTTTTAGATCATCTGCATACATCTTAAAATTTGACTTTAATACAGAACCGATGTCATTTATGAAGATCAAAAAAAATAATGGTCCCAAATGCGAACCTTGTGGAACCCCAGATGGCACGGCACTAGGAAATGATTTGAAACCTTGTAATAGCTTTGAAAACTTTACAAGCTGGGAACGATTGCGCAAGTAAGACTCACACCACCTTAGCAATGAACCATGAATTCCCAATGAATTCAACTTGACCAACAGTAAATCCTGATTTACTGCATCAAAGGCTTTATGGAAGTCGGTATATACTGCATGGACTTCTTCACCATGGTCAACAGCTTCTGATATGTCTGCGTTGAAACTATTATGATAGTTATGGACCACGAATGCGATACCAGTTTGTCAGTAGTAAATTTAAAATCAGTCAAAAATTATCTTTTGAAAATTTTAAATGCGACTCAATAGTACGGGGTCTCAGTAGTCTTTGGAACAAGATCTGAAATGGTTTGATTTCAATTTGTGTGTCTACTTTAATCTGATTTAAAATGTATAGTGATAGTAAAAATTGTCCGCTAATATTGGAGTGATTAATGAACCACCTAAAGTAGATCACAACTATTATTTCTAGCAGAAAATTCTTAGGAAATAGGATGGCCGAACGGAAACTGTGCTGGTGTTTCCTTTTTCAGGTTAACACAAGAGGGCGTGTGTCATGCAGGATGGCCGTGTCGTATCCGCTCATGAGTACGGTCGCTAAGCGGAACGCAAGCGCCCCCTAGCGGCGAAATCACGCAACTACCGATCCGGTGACAGAGTCGTGAGGCGACACTTTTTGGTGGACTGTCGGAGTGAAGACGTGTCACGGAACTATCGTACGTTTCGTTAGTGTGTTACCTTACCGTGTTGATTTGTACTCAAGAATAAACCAAGTACTTATATTGTACGTAGTTCTCTCATTGCACGATACCACGTTTGCCCACACTATGTCCGAGGACACCGGCCGAAAACCTAATGGAACTACAAATACATGACATCTTTCTAATGATACAGTCTCTTAGGAGTGACGCGTATTTATCGTAACAGAAACGAAGAAACTTAAATAACAGTTCCCGTTCCACACAACTTGCTCCTTAACACGCTGTCACAAGCTTTTCTTTATTCATGCTTACGACTGTTCGAAAGAGATAAAAACTGTTACACCTTGTCACAGTTATTACTGAACGCTGTCACTGTCACAAGCTCTTTCTCTTCTTGCATTGGTCTTCTTTGTTATCAAGAGAAGTATGGACGTAACAGTTACACAAAATTTTCACAACATAGTATGAAATAACAGGCTTTATTTTGTAACAGGTATTTGTTACTGTTACTTTTAAGTAACAAGAACAGACCTAACAGGTACTCGATTTAACCTAGTATATCTCACCCCTACATTAGATTATTACTTAGATTCTCGCAATCTAGTTATGGTTTAGTTGAGAGTTGGGAAGACAAGTAAAAAAAATATATCGATATTTATTGTTCGACATTTTGTAATAATGTATCGATAATTATTTAATGAAAATTATCGATATATCGTCTGTTTTCGCATGATTATTCATACATATTTATCTACTAACACGCCAGCGCCACGCGTTGTCAAATTGTAAGCGCCAGCGTCAGCGCGAGTAATAAAATGTCATTAGACCGCTTCCGACTTAGGCGATATCTTTTGCCGTTTGCAAACTACAAATACTATCCCAAAAAGTTAATAAGCTGAATAACTAAGCTATCTAATTATCTAAAAATCAAGAGTTATAATTTTAATTTGCAACTCTAAAAAACATATTCAACTTTAAAAAACAAATAAAATATAATAATATATAAAATTAAATTAAATTAAATATCCTTTCCAACAATATCAGAATCATTTTAAACCTTATTTACAATCATGAAGAAAAACTTAGAAGAAATGAGCTACTCCCCGCTAAGATGATGTGACCTTGCGTGCGTAGTTAGAGTGAAAATGACAGCCATTTAAGGTCTCGTTAAAACGAAGTTGAAAAATTAAACAACATATTTTGCAGAGTAATTTTTAATGGCTACTTACAAAATTTCAATTTTTATTTTATTTTTTATGTGTAAAGTTGCCAAACGAGCAGACGGTTCACCTGATGGTAAGTGAATACCGCCGCCCATGGACATCGGCTACACCCGAGGGTTACAGATGCGTTGACAACCTTTTGAAAATTGGGCTCCGGCTACCTCACTCACCAGACGCAACGCGAAAGTATTTGTCATACTTCCACTTTACGCTGGTCTTCTGTGAGGTCGTGGTACTTACCCGGACGGGCCTGCCCATTCGTGCAACAGCCGAGGCTGTTGCGAGGCCCTACCACCGTTATGAGGCCCTACCACCATTATGAGGCCCTACCACCGTTATGAGGCCCTACCACCGTTTCGAGGCCCTACCACCGTTTATAAATTATTATTAGATATTTTGAACTTAAATTAATAAAAACAATAATTATAATTTATAGTTTTTTTTCTGCAGCAGCTCTTTCTTGACGGAAGGCGACAACGCCGCAACCCTGCGCTGCGCTATTTGCCTTTGAGCACGGATTTGATTTAACCTATTACTGAAATAAAAAAAATCATAAATATATTATGTCTATAAGTTTTTACTGTGGTACGATCACCCAATAGTCTTCACAGTTGTACGAATGGTAAAGTCCGTCGGGGAAGTACCGCGACCTCACAGAAGACTGGCGTGAAGTGGCTGTGGAAGTGTGGAAGACTTTTGCGTTTCGCCTAGTTAGTGAGCCGGGGCCCACTTTATTTTAAACGCGTGGTGGCAACGCATCTGCAATCCCGCGGGTGTTGCAAGTGCCTATGGGCGGCGGTGCTCACTCAACATCAGGTGAACCGCCAGCTCGTTTGCTACCTTCTGACATAAAAAATAAATAAATAAAAATAATGATAAAACAAGATAAATACTCTTCAGTGGTCTCGGCACCATAACGTCCTCTTCCTCGTCCTCTTGCACGACCACGCCCGCAACTTTCTTCGACGTTTCTTTCACTAAAATAAATGTTTACGCACCACAATTTAATTTAATGAATATTTAGATCGTTTAGTAATCCGTACAAACCCTTATTATATTAGTAACTATGGGTAATTAGGGCGGATACCATGACAACCCGCTGGTATCCGCCGCTGTTGTCAAAATCCATTGATAATTGACAGCAGGCGCTCAGTATTGAACACAATGGTTCGAGTAATAGATTCTTATCGAAAACACTTGAATTTATATTAAAAAAAAAGTATATAGATATACTAATTATGAACTATTCTTTCATTTTCACACAGATTTGGGTCAAAATAGACACACATTTCGTTGTATTTGACATATCAACCCGTTGTTCCCATCGCAAACAATAACTTTTTCGTAGACCAACTTTTGAATGCTAAAACTACTTAACTATAAAAAATATTTTAGCATTATTATTCACGATCATTTATAGGTATCATGTGTCCCTAGTGGTGGTTTAAATAATTTTATTTTCTTGGTACTATAGTACCTGAAGGCTTTCTGGGTGGTATAGACCATTCAAAATTCTTAAAAAAAAAAGACATGAAAATATTTTTTTTTAGTTAACGATGCGAGAGGAGCATGCGAAAAGTATCTGGTAACATTAAACACGAAACCAGAGTTGCGTCAAAAAATGTATCGAAATTGACACGCATTCGATAGTTTCAAATAAATATCGAATGTCAATATATCGCGATAAAAAAAATCGATATTTATCGATAATTCTATGGAAAAATGTCGATATTGTTATGTCTATGGTTTAGTTCCGTTGGCATACATTGGAGCGCTAGTGGACACCGTGTACGCTTTTCAAATGTATGGAGCAGTCGATCTTTTCGTGAGAGTTTTAGTATCCCGTGGGATGTATGGAGAAATCCTAAGGCGTCTAATCCTAGGCGTTAATAATAAGTGAAGAAATATATTGATATATATATATATATATATATATATATATATATATATATATATATATACATATATATATAAATATCAATATCGGTCTGGTTATTTTCTGTTTCGGCCCCGTTGTCAAAAAAAGTTATGTCAAGTATTAAATATTTGGCACCTCAGGACTCTGTGCCGGATTTGAATTTCAAAAAAATATCGTTTTTGATACGATTTCGATATTGAATATTTTGTATCGATATATCGGATCTAAATATAACGGCTAAAATTATCGATAATTAAAATAAAAATATCGATATATCGATATTTTTTCGACATTCCTAATAACTTATTGTGAATTTGTGAAATGTCAATTTGATGTTGATGCTTGATGTTGATGTCTTTAGGAACCAATTTTGTTTTGGGTCTAAAATATATTACTAAGTTTGATTTTATACACCATGCCAAGTCAGTACGAAGAAGAACGTGTTTGGGAAGGTTCCAATCACAATCAATATGAAGTACCTACAATTTTACCTATAATAATTGATAGTATACTCTAAAGCCCTTTTGTATTACTTTTCAAATAAATTTAATCACTTTAAACTCGGTCATACATGTATAAGTTCTTCCTTTTTACTAGGAAGAAGGAGCCGAAGATGTTATTGACAATCCAGAAGAAGTTTTACAAGAGTGTTTAGAGAAGTTCAAAACACCTGATTATATCATGGAACCTGGTATATTTGGACAGCTTAAACGGTATTTTCAAGCCGGGGGTAATCCTGAGCAAGTCATAGAACAACTTTCAATCAATTATAATGGTGTAGCCCAGATGGCGAATTTATTGGCTGAATGGCTCATTCTTGGTGGTAAATCTAAAAACTTATTTTTTTTTATTATACTGAAATAACAACAAAATCTAAGATATCTATAGATTATATATAGAAAAACCCTAAAGTAGTTTCTATTATTTTTATTATAAAAAAAAGATCAATTTTTTTTGTATATCAATATCAGAACATGATATGTAGTTATTCACTAAAACCATAATTATATTGGCTCAGGTGTAAAAGTTACAGAAGTTCAGGCAATGGTGGAAAACCATCTTAAAGATATGATTTTAAAAACATTTGATCCTAAAAAGGCTGATACCATTTTTACAGAAGAAGGTGAAGTGAGTATTAGTGATGCTGAACTTAGTTTTTTTTTTTTTTACTTGTTGTGACGTATAATCAAAATTATTGTGTCATTTTTTTAAAGACACCTGCTTGGCTAACAGAAATGATTGAACATCCAACATGGAGGTCATTAATATATAGGTTGGCGGAAGAATACCCAGATTGCCTTATGTTGAATTTTACAATTAAAGTAAGTTGATACAAGTTTGTAATATATTCAATGTATATAATCAATTACTACTTAAAATGATTAATTAATAAATAGTAATACTGTAGTAATTAGTACTGATAAATAATAATGTTTATTTTAGTTAATATCTGATGCTGGCTTTCAAGGTGAAATCACAAGTATATCAACTGCAGCACAACAAATTGAAGTATTCTCAAGAGTACTTAAATCAGCTATTGTGGGATTTTTACAAAGTTCTGATGATTGGCAAAACAGTGTTAATGAATGTGCTGTAAGTCAGATGGTTTTATTATTAACTCTTGTTGCTGTGTTTGCTCTATTGTTATATTGTTTTACAGAAAATGGTGTGCCATGGCGCACACACATATGTATACAGCCAAGTTATTGTTCACATTTTGTCTCAAGAGCCTAGAGGAGGAGCAATTATGAAAAGACTTGGACAAGAAATTACTCGTTGCGCTCAACAAAGGTTACTATCATGTCTAATATTACCTTTTGTCGGCAAAATTTTCGATAAATTCATCCTTCTATTATTTACATTCCTTATTAAAACGATGAAAATTGTTACGCTAACAACTCATGATACAGTAATGCGAAGTTTTTTTATTACAGCGGACATGACGTGACGCCTATCACTCTAGCTCTGACAGCTGGCGAATCTTGGCGAGGCGCGCGTACCGCATTGGCTGCCATGTTGTCACGTGGCGCATTAAATCCTGCCGACATTTCCGTGCTATTTCGCGCATACACGCAACCTGAACCGCCTCCAGTTCATTTACTGAGAATACCACAATTTCTAGGTAACACCACTGGAATTTTAAGAGTTAATTATGGATAGTCAAGATACCTAGCTAACAATGTCGCATGTGTTATAACAAGTGCGAGTCGGAATCGCGTAAGAATGGTTCCGTACCATAACATAAATACATCATGTGTGAAAATTTCTACTGTCTAACTATCACGGTTCATGAGATACAGCCTAGCGACAGACAGCGTAGTTTAGCAATAAGTTCCCGTTTTAGCCTTTTCGTACGGAACCACGTCGGAAAGACGTAGATTTTAAGTGATCATTCGTGCAACAGCGAGGACTATTGCGGGATCCTAACACAGTAAAATATATATAGTGTGTAAAATATTTGAAGCCGGTTTTTTATTAATGAATAAAAAAGTTTTACTTCTATCTGAAGTCTCTGACATCTCGTACGGAACGGATCTCTCTCTAAGACGGAGGGCTCATGCCACCCGAATTACACGCTACTCACAACTTCGGTTGCAATTTAAATATTTGCAAGTAGTGCAGTAGTTTAGTGTTAGTGTAGTATTGTGCTCGTAGGCAGGTTCCTTTTTTGTAAGTAGAATACTTACACACTTCTCGGAGGCGGCATAACTATGTGCTTGTTGCGATAGGCGACAACTAGGACCCTAGCGCACCTAAAGCGCAGGCAAATTAGTCGTTAGTTTTAGGCACACACCTCCCCGCCGCAAGGTGGGGAGGCCTATCTAGTAACTTACACGACGGCGGGGCGCAAGCCCCAAAGGCTTGAGCGCTCGAAATGGGTTCCCTCCTAGAGGAATTCCTTCGCCAACAATGTTCCGAAGTGTGGGCAAACTTCCTCGCGTTCGCAAAAGAACAATGTTTAGTCGTCGAGTTCGCCAGCCCGGCTTCAGCGGCAGTTGCCTCGCCGCCATCTCCGGTGCCCTCTGCGCCCGCTGATGCGTCGCCCTCAGCGACACAAGAAATGCTCGTCGCGTCGACCTCCGCCGCCGCGATCGTACCCGTCGCGCCTTCCGCGCATTCCATCTCGGCCCCCTTCCGCGCCCTCGTTCCCAACTCACAATCGGACGGCGGATCGGACATGGGCGTCGAAACGACCCCCGTAGACAACGCGAACGCCGACGGCTTCACGTCGTTAAATCTCGAAAGGGCAAAAAACGCCCCGCTGCCGACAGCGACCCCGAATACGAGGCCGCCTCAACTAACCGTCCCACCGCGACGCCTGCCAAAAGGCGACCGCGGCTGCCCAACCGGTACCCGAATTCGCCGCCGAGCGAAAAATTAAGCCGCCGCCTCCGATAATAATGCAAGAGAATGCAAAGTGGCATCAAGTATGCTCGTGGTTCGAACGCCACAACACTCGCGACCCCCGGTCGAAAAATACAAATATGAGTATCCGCGTATACCTTCATACAACGGACGACTTCCGCCGCGTAACTAAGTACTTACGCGAAAATAAGGTAGGTTTCCATACCTACTCATTTCCCGAAGGACGAAAACTTCGGGTAGTAATAAAGGGCTCCAAAGAGTCTGATGTCGATAAGGCTTAGGTCGACATCCGCACTGAGGGATACCCCGTATATGCCGTGCGACGACTCAGGCACCCTAGGACACGTGTCCCTATGACATGGTCATGGTTGAACTTGACCCTACCTCGGAAGGTAAGGCCATCTTCAACCTGACAACGCGAGAAAAACTCCCGCGAAATCAACATTGCCCAAACCCGCGCCCGTGAAATACATCCCCGCGCCCGTACCAGTCGTAACCGCCTGGGCGAAACCCCAGGTGGCCGCGCAGGTAGTCGCGCCCCCGGTCGCCTCACGACCAACGTTAGCCCAATCGCAGCCCGCCATTCAACAGGCGCCGAGGTCACAGGTGCAGTCAACACCACCGGGAATCACCGGAAACAAACAAACAAATCAAACCCCGAGCACCTCAATGCCATTAGAGAACATAAAACGCTTGTAGATGCCCTGTCTGGGTGTTAACAAGCCAACCATAAACGCTATAGTCCGCGCAATAAAACCGCGCTCCGCCGCGTCGTTAGTTAGAAACCCTAAAATACTTTTATGGAAAGTACAACCGTAGGTAGAACAAAACCTAGGGCTCTGGTTGTTTCGTATTTCAACGCAAACGGCGTTAAGGGTCAAGGGGACGAAATCGCAGAATTCCTTCGCGATTATAATATAGATATTTTTCTAGTGCAAGAGACCTTCTTAAAACCTAGTGTTCGCGATCCCAGAATCGCAAACTACAACATAGTCCGCCACGATCGGTTAGCAAACCGTCTGGGAGGCACCTTAATTTATTACAAACGGTCCTTACACTGTAGCCCGCTCGACATTCCAGAACTAAGCCATATAGAGGCATCCGCGTGTAGGTTAGCGCTCACCGGCTATAGGCCGCTTGTACTAGTCTCAGCCTACCTCTCGGGGAACAAAACCTTATTACAAAGCGATCTAGATACGCTACTCAACTAAGGCCCTTCCGTGATAATTGCAGGCGATCTAAACTGCAAACACGGCTCATGGGACACCCACAGCATCCCAAATAATAACGGAAAGCATCTCTTTAGCTTATCCGATGACTTAAATTTTAGCATAGTCGCTCCTGCGACCCCTACTAGGTATACTACGGAGACAATTACCAAAACGCGACACGGAGTATCCTAGACATTATGTTATTCAAGGAGGTCTCGCTCGACATCGAGTCGATAGAGACAAGCCATGAACTAGATTCCGATCACAGGCCCGTCCTCTGTAAACTGGGCTAGAACGCCGGTACGGTCCCTCCGACGAAATCCGTAGTGGACTGGCATCGTCTTGAAGTCAAACTCAAGGCCTTGGACCCTAGTCAATCTACCCGAGACGATAACTACGTTCGATAACGCCAATCGAGCGATAGCAAGTCTCCGAGAAACTATCACTTCCGCAGTCGCAGATTCGGAAACTATCGGGCGACGTTTAACTTTCCGCCCGACCTGCTACTGCTAATTAGACAGAAAAATGCAGCCAAATGCGCTTTCGACCGATACCGATCGGAATCGAATCGAACCCTACTTCGATGCATTCAGCTAGAAGTCGTGTATCAAAGATCGTGTATTGGAACACCGACATACCACGTGGAAGTCGTCGGATACCCTCCTAGAGGACATCGAGCCATCGCACACCGTCTACTGGCGGTTGGTCCGCAGTCTGAAAGCAGAACCCCGCGAGGATCTCTACCGCCGTTAGACATAATAGCGCTTCAGCAGCCCTAGATGACTCCGAAAAAGCCGAATACCTTGCGGACAACCTAAAGCAGCAATGTACGCCATCGCGCAAACACTCCGATACAGCCCGCTTAACGGAGGTGGACCGCGTAATCGAGATTAGGGCTGCGCTTCCACCGGAAGGCGATCTTTTGAGTTCAGTGACCCCCGAAGAGTTCCAAGACATTATTAAAATTTTAAAACCGAAATCCGCCCCGGGCCCAGATAATCTTAGTAACACAATTCTTAAAGCTCTCCCTGGGCCGCTTATCTGTTTACTGGCGACCATTTTCAATACTTTACTGTCCAGTTGCTCCTTTCCGGACGACTGGAAAGAAGCCACGGTTATCGGCAGTCGCAAGCCGAATAAACCAGCCAACCAGCCCCCTAGTTATCGTACCATCAGCCTCCTCAGTTGCCTGGGGAAGCTTTACGAGCGGCTTCTATTAAACAGGCTTAAAGAGCACGTGTTTTCCAACGGCCTTCTGCCGGCGGAACTATTCAGCTTTCGAGCTAGACATTCCTGTCCCGATCAATCGTTCCGCCTAACGGAACATATCCTAAAAGGCCTAAATCACCCTAAACATATTAGTGCAGGGGCTCTTTTCTTCGATGTCGCACTACACTCGACAAGGTCTGGCACAACGGCTTGCTTTACAAGCTGTACACACTCAAAGTGCCAGATAGGCTCGTACACACCATCCGGGCCTTCCTGTCGAACCGCTCTTTTCGATATCGAGTTGAAGGCACCCTGTCCACAAGCCGCCGCCTCACGGCCGGCGTACCACAAGGCTCCTGCCTCCTGCTACCTTTGCTCTTTACGCTCTACACGAGCGATATACCTAACGTCAATATTGCGCTTTTCGCTGATAACACGGCGCTCTTTAATTCAGACCGCAACCTTAGTCAACTAACCACTCGACTCCAAAGCGCCGCCGACCGCCTCGGCGATTGGTTCCGCAAATGGAGAATGGAAGTAAATCCCGAAAAAAGTGTGGCTATTCACTTCACACAAAGTACTTACCCGTCACATCTTTCTAATGGCCCTCATCAATGCAGAAAGTTGGCGCAAATATCCCTTTATGGCCAACCGCTCCCCTGGGAGAAAAAGGTCAAATACTTAGGAGTCACTTTCGACTCGCTTATGTCATTTACTTCGCACATTAATAACGTTCGCAATAGAGCCGCGTTCGTCTCCGGCCGGCTACACAATTTAACTAACGCTAAAAGTAAAAAGCCCTTAAGGCACAAATTATTATTATATAAGACCTGCGTACGACCTATTATGTCCTACGCATGCATGACCTTCGCCCACACGCACCCTACTCGCTTGTACAAGTTGCAAATAGTACAAAATAAGTTCATCCGCCGCGCAACTGGTGCGCAGTGGTATCAACGCAACGTCGACCTGAACAGCGATTGCAGACTCCCGACGATTCGCGAATATTTTAAAGACCTGACTAAAAGGTTCTTCGATAGAGCCAAACATCATCCCAACCCTCTGGTGGTAAGCGCAGCAAATTACCAACCGGACACAAACGTGAACTTCAACAAGCGTTGCCCGCGAAACGACCTCATCGACCCGGTCGAGGAAGGGGATTTAGATACGTCGGACCCACCGCCGGGGTCCCGCCGGATAACACTAACAGTTAGTGCAACAACAAACACTAGTTCACCCTCGCCTCCGAGCACGGCGAGACCAACACAACGCGTACACAAGGTACACCCGCGTTCCAAGGCGGTTCTCACCGCTCCCAGCCACCGATTAGCTAATTGCAGTCGACGGCCATCGGAGTTTCGGTCCGAACCGCAACCTCGATGGCCTTAGATGACACACCATACTTAAACGCACGCATGAGCACATGCGTGGCCCTACCCACAGCGGAGGGCCCAAACCTATGGGTTCTGGCTAGCCCACCGGTTCTGCGTCAGATGAAGCTTTAATAGCCTCGGGACTGTAAGCAAAAACATCAGTTAATACAAGATACAAGATACAATTAATAATTTAATAATCAATAAACCAATATGTTATAAGGATAATTGCAATGTACAAAAAAAGTTCTGTGTTTTTATACTATCACTATAAATTAACAAAAGCCTATGAATACAATCAAATTAGAAGTGTCAATCATTATTTTTCATATTTTTTAATCCGATTCGCAGTTTTATGGATAAATACATTTATCTTGATAGTAAATGCACGTTGTTATCGTAATATTTTTAAAGTTAAATAAATAATATTTTACAGAATCAATTAATGGCTTATTATTATAGTGATTATTAAGTAATAAGAGTCTGACGGACTTTAATATAAAACGTAATTTAACGCCACTTATTTTATATTTTGATAAATTGCTAAACACAATTGCTCGAAGTTATTGCTATAGTTAAGTAACCAAAATGTTTTACCTTTTAGAGCTACTTGTGGATGCCTTATTTAAATCTGGAAGCAAATTAAACCCAGAGCACAAATCAAAGTACATGTATTTGTTGGCATACGCCGCTAGCGTATGTGAAGGCGTCACTCCGGGCAGGCCAGTTAAAGACGAGCTGAAAGCGACAGTTCAAGCAATTGAAAAAATACACGCAGTATGCAGTAGCTCAGCCAGCTCAAGTGAACTAATCGCAGAACTGCCCACGCTATACCATTGTATCAGGTAGTGAAATATATGAACATAACTCTAGTTTCATTTTGCTCTTTGAGAACTAAGCCTTTATAACCATTACAGAGATAAAGGCTTAGTTATATATTTATATATTAAAAAGTAATGCTTATTTAAGGCACATCATGTTTAGCTTAAAAATATTCGGTTTACGAGTCCATTACATCATTTTAAGATCGAGATTTATTTACCGATATACGATGGTATTAGTTGTTATAATTTTGGTTCTTTATCAGGTTCCCTGTTGTGGGCATGGGAGTATTGGTATGGGTAGAATGTGTTGTGACAGAACCTTCTTATTTCAAACTGTGTACAGAACACTGCCCTGTTCATTTAGCTCTGCTAGACGAAGTGGCTTCCTGTCACCAGCTATTACACCACAGACTTTTGCGGCTTCTTATACAACTTTTCGAATCACCGCAAGATGAACTAGAAATATTAGTACAAGTATGTAAATTATCTTCATGATACCATAAATTATGTATAATTTTATTACTACATTCAGATTTTAAAAAAAAACGACAAACGCAGTAGGAAATAATCAGCCTTATTTGTGTTCTTACAGCTGGAATTGAAGAAAATGCTCCTTGACAGAATGGTGAATTTGCTTAGTCGCGGTTGTGTCGTCCCGGTACTTCGTTATATAAAGCAGTGTTGGCAACGTGGTGATACTGACATTTCACTCATAAGATATTTTATTACTGAGGTAAATACCATTCTGATAAAGAATAACATGTTTACATATGCCATAATGATATATGATATTGCCTTGTAAATTATTATTTCAAATATTATAGATTTGTTTAATCAATCAATCACCGATTCTTCTAGGTGCTTGATGCAATAGCGCCACCGTATACTCAAGAATTTGTACAGTTGGTTTTACCGATGGTTGAAAATGAAGAAATCACAGGAACTATGCGAGCCGAAGGAGAGAATGACCCTGTTTCAGAATTTATAGGTAAATATAATACCTCTACAATAAAATGTAATATATTAATTAAAATTCAATGGTTTCCTTATAAAATTATCAGTCACCTACGAAGGGTTTTGCATGAATGAAAGTGTTATTGTACAATATTTTTATTAACACGAATGTCGAGTAGATGACGAGAATGTATAATACATATAAAATTTTAACTGGTTCAGACCATCCGAACGAAGGCTAGGGAATAAGAACTTTAGTACATAAAAGTAGAAATACAGCGGCTCTGTGAACGCGGTATGGAAATGTCGTTAACACTCGTAATGTGTGTCACAATCGCAATAGGGTTTTAAATAAAAAAAAATTGGCTAGTCCATTTATATGAGACAAAAGCTAGTTTTAGGGACCAAATCCAGTGAGATTAAATGCGACAGATGCAATTAAAAATTCTTTCAGTTATCAACCCCAGGTTACAAAGCGCTGTTCTCACTTGTCGGTACCCTTCGTGATTGGACAGGCGAATTCGTTTTTGATATTCCGCATTAGACTGTACTTTGTATAGAAAACACAAGGATCGTCGGGTACATACCTAACTTTGAAATCAACATGTTTATAGAAATTTATGTCCTTAAAGCACATTATCAATATTTTCCTTAGCCAGCGAATTTTTCTATGACTTAAAACTTCAGGCTAGACTTAATGAAAGATTAAAGTTTTATCGATTATTTATTATGATTTTTAATATAAATTTGTTTTCAGTTCACTGCAAGGCGCATTACGTCGTTACTTAAGTTTGACAAGAAATAAACACATTTTGTAATATTGGTTTTTTAATTTCCTATCAGTTGATAGTTATGTTAACATCCTCTATTTGCCTTCCTTTCATAATAACGCTTAAGAGCTTGTTCAAACACCTCACCTACAGTTCGTTTTTTCCATATATCAATCTTCTTAACAACCACCGGAGTACTTTCATCTGCTAAAGACTCTTTCTTCTCTGTGACATTGACTTTAGGAGTTTCTGGAGATGTAACTCTTTTATTTGTTTCTTTATCAGGAGACTTTAGTTTCAAGTTTTCATTATTTTTTAGTTCTTTTTCTTCATCACTAGAATCGTCAATTGAAAAGTCTGAATCTGCATCAATGTTCTCTTCACTTAGCTTTGCTTTTTTGGACAACCTTATATCTTCTAAATTACACCTATTAATTTCTTCTTCCGAATCTTCAATTTCACCATCAGAAAGAAGTCTGTTATTGTCTGAGGATTTTCTTTTTCTGTAGTTTCTTTTCTTTGAGGTTTGTAATGTATCTTTATGTTTACTCTCAACCTTTTCTTCCAACTCTGTACTATTAACAAATACTTCTTTATTTTTATTCTGATCACTTTTATCTGTCCCTAGCTTTTGTTCATAAATATGACGATAAAAACCACCTGAAATAAAAATAACTGCGAATAATAGATCTTTATTGGATTCCTTAAAGTCTTTTACCTTATTTTAGGTGTCAATCTTATCTAAGTTAAGGGTTCTACAAAATTTGTTGCTTCTTTCATTTGTAAGACATCTAATTATACATTCTTATCTGTAACTGGTACTTTTTATGCCCATTATGTTATGAACAAGTATTTGCATGCCTATCCATCTACCAATAATTATTCTTCGTTTTTGTAAAATTTATACATGTCAATATCCTTACAACACCTTTACCTGACCTGAGGCTTTAGCCACTAAGCTAAACGGCTGATTGCCACACCGACGAAAATCTTAACGTCTTTTATCTACATTGTTTTTTAGCATTCGAAGCAATTCTTGGCGCATCCATTGTTATATCCTTTCCAGCATATAAACAATTTCGAATATCGTTTTGGCAACATCTCTTATCGTTTTAAATCGTCGTGCCAAAACGTATATCTTAAGTGCAGAGATTAGCACAATAAAAATTTAAATTTCTAACAAAGAAAAATAATCCCATTATAAAGGTAAAATGAAAAAAAACATACATTAACCATGATTTCAAAGAACCAAAAGATATTAGATAATATTTTCCAAAGTTGACTTAATTATTTACCTAAATCCTTCTGCTTAGTAACATCTCCGATGCTTTCCAAATATTCCTCATACTTTTCCCTTTCCTCCTGTTTTTTCATTTCCTCTAGTTTCTTCTTATATGCTGAAGTTACAAAGACTTCTTTATCAGCAAACTCATCACCCTCATTTTCTCTTTCTTTTTGAACCTGAAATAATTTTACAGCATATTACTACAATATAAAAAATCCACATTATCTATACATATAATAAAATAACTGATCGTTTTCTGTAAATGGGAGATATTTGAGGAAAACTATTACTGGGGGCGTTTAGCAACACACTTGCCCGTGGGGAAAGAATAGCACCCACCCATTTCATCCCGAGGGAGTCGTAGGAGGCGACCAAGGAAAGGCGAAAAACAGAAAAATCCGGAAGTTGAGCAGCAGCGGCTTCCGCGTACTTAACATCTATAATTATTATTATTATCTACAGAGTGGTGAAGTGGTAGCGATCACCGTATTGGTAGAAGCCCATTGAGTATCAACGCGAAGGTTGCAAGATCACGGTTTGAGGGTCCCAGTTCTTTAAGGCTCGAAGGCGCCGAAACCTTAAAAGCTCTCTTCACAAACCATTAAATCAATGAAAGATCGGACTGCGATGAGAGTGCAATCTTCAGTTCATATGTCGGAATATGGCAAACTCAATAGACAAATCTCAAAATCCATGCTACACGACTAGCGGTTCTATAATACAGAGCGTATTGAGGCCGCAATCGAGCTGAACCAGGGCTCTAAAGTGTTTGCAAGGCATTCGTCTGTTGGACAAAGCTGAAGATTCTTTGATCTTGATTTGGCAATGTTATCTCGTTGAAACCGGACACCTCGACATGTAAACCCATAGTCAGAACAGCTCGGGACACCAGAGCTAGATTGACCCGACACTGCACTGAGGATATCCCAGACATCAGCCTGTACGAGATTAGAATGTCTCTGAAACAGGTTAAGAACAAGGCACAGGGTGATGACGGAATTACGACTGAACTGTTGAGTGCCGGTGGAAAATCGGTACCACAAGTCCTCCAGAAGTTATTTAATTCGGTCATAGTTCAAGGTACCACGCCACAAACAAGGCATAGGAGTATGGCAGCGTTCGGGAAACTACGCGATATCTTTTTCCGCAGTGACTGAAGATAAGGGTGTATAACCATTTACGGTGGTAGGGCCACGCAACAGTGTTCGCTGTTGTAGAGCGCTCCGTCATTCCGCTTCGTGCTCTCGTACGGAACGGAACTCTCTCTAAGACGGAGGGCTAATGCCACCCGAATTAGACGCTACTCGCAACTTCGGTTGCAATTTAAATCTTTGTGCAAGCAGCGCAGTAGTTTAGTGTTAGTGTTGTGCTCGTAGGCAGGTTCCTGTTCTGTAAGTAGAATTCTATACACACTTCTCGCCTCAGAGGCGGCATTGTTTTTATTTAATAACTGTGTGCTTGTTGCGATAGGCGACAGCTAAGTACCCACCCTAGCGCACCTAAAGCGCAGGCGGATTAGTTGTTAGTTTTAGGCACACACCTCCCTGCCGCAAGGTGGGGAGGCCTATTTAGTAAGTTACACGCCGGCGGGGCGCAAGCCCCAAAGGCTCAAGCGCTCGAAATGGGTTCCCTCCTAGAGGAATTCCTTCGCCAACGATGTCCCGAAGTGTGGGCAAACTTTCTCGCGTTCGCGAAAGAAAAATGTTTAGTCGTCGAGTTCGCCAGCGACAGCCCGGCTTCACCGGCAGTCGCCTCGCCGTCATCTCCGGCGCTCTCAGCGCCCGTTAAAGCGTCGCCTTCAGCGACACAAGAAAAGCCCGTCGCGTCGACCTCCGCCGCCGCGATCGTACCCATCGCGCCTTCCGCGCAATCCACAGCATCCCAAATAACAACGGAAAGCATCTCTTTAGCTTATCCGATAATTTAAACTTTAGCATAATTGCTCCTGCGACTCCCACTAGGTATCGTACGGTGGACAACTACCAACACGCGACACCGAGTATCGTAGATATCATGTTACTCAAGGAGGTCTCGCTCGACATCGAGTCGATAGAGACAATCCATAAACTAGACTCAGATCACAGGCCCGTCCTGTGTAAACTGGGCCAGAACGCCGGCGCGGTCCCTCCGACCAAATCCGTAGTGGACTGGCATCGTCTTGAGGTCAAACTCAAGGCCTTGGACCCCCAGGACTTAGTCGACCTACCCGAGACGATAGCTACGTTCGATGACGCAAATCGAGCGATAGCAAGTCTCCGAGAAACCATCACTTCCACAGTCGCAGACTCGGAACGGACGGTTAAACTGTCGGGCGATCGACGGTTTAACTTTCCGTCCGATCTGCGACTCCTAATTAGGCAGAAAAATGCAGCCAAACGCGCTTTCGACCGATACCGATCGGAATCGAACCGAACCCTACTTCGACGCCTTCAGCTAGAAGTCAAAGATCGTGTATCGGAACACCGACATACAACGCGGGACACTCTCCTAGAGGACATCGAGCCATCGCACACCGCCTACTGGCGGTTGGTCCGCAGTCTGAAAGCAAACCCCCGCGAATCTCTACCGCCGTTAGTTAGACCTAATAGCGCTTCAGTAGCCCTAGATGACTCCGAAAAAGCCGAATGCCTTGCGGACAACCTAGAGCAGCAATGTACGCCATCGCGCGAACACGAGATTAGGGCTGCGCTTCCACCGGAAGGCGATCCTTTGAATTCAGTGACCCCCGAAGAGGTTCAAGATATTATTAAAAACTTAAAACCCAAATCCGCCCCGGGCCCAGATAATATTAGTAACAAAATTCTTAAAGCTCTCCCTGGGCCGCTTATCTGTTTACTAGCGACCATTTACAATACTTTACTCTCCAGTTGCTCCTTTCCGGACGACTGGAAAGAAGCCAGGGTTATCGGCATTCGCAAGCCTAATAAACCAGCCAACCAGCCCTCTAGTTATCGTCCCATCAGCCTCCTCAGTTGTCTGGGGAAGCTCTACGAGCGGCTTTTATTAAACAGGCTCAATGAGCACGTGTTTTCCAACGGCCTTCTGCCGGCGGAACAATTCGGCTTTCGAGCTAGACATTCCTGTCCCGATCAACTATTCCGCCTAACGGAACATATCCTAAAAGGCCTAAATCACCCTAAACATATTAGTACAGGGGCTCTTTTCTTCGATGTCGCAAAAGCATTCGACAAGGTCTGGCACAACGGCTTGCTTTACAAGCTGTACACACTCAAAGTGCCAGATAGGCTCGTACACACCATCCAGGCCTTCCTGTCGAACCGCTCTTTTCGATATCGAGTTGAAAGCACCCTCACCACAAGCCGCCGCCTCACCGCCGGCGTACCACAAGGCTCTTGCCTCTCACCTTTGCTCTTTACGCTCTACACGAGCGATATACCTAAAGACCCCCACGTCAATCTCGCGCTTTTCGCGGATGACACGGCGCTCTTTTATTCAGACCGCAACCTTAGACAACTAACCACTCGACTCCAAAGCGCTGCCGACCGCCTCGGCGATTGGTTCCGCTAATGGAGAATAGAAATAAATCCCGAAAAGAGTGTGGCGATTCACTTGACACGAAGTACTTACCCGTCACATCTTTATAATGGCCCTCGTCAATGCAGAAAGTTGGGGCAAATATCCCTTTATGGCCAACCGCTCCCCTGGGAGAGAAAGGTCAAATACTTAGGAGTCACTTTCGACTCGCGTATGTCATTTACTACGCACATTAATAACGTTCGCAATAGAGCCGCGTTCGTCTCCGGCCGGCTACACAACTTAACTAACGCTAAAAGTAAAATGCCCTTAAGGCACAAATTATTATTATATAAGACCCGCGTACGACCTATTATGTCTTACGCATGCATGACCTTCGCCCACACGCACCCTACTCGCTTGTACAAGTTGCAAATAGTACAAAATAAGTTCATCAGCCGCGCAACCGGTGCGCAGTGGTATCAACGCAACGTCGACCTGCACAGCGATTGCAGACTCCCGACGATTCGCGAATATTTTAAAGACCTGACCAAACGGTTCTTCGATAGAGCCGAACATCATCCCAACCCTCTGGTGGTAAGCGCAGCAAATTACCAATCCGACAAAAACACAAACGTCAACAAGCGTCGCCCGCGAAACGTCCTAATCGACCCGGTCGAGGAAGGGGACTTAGACACGCCGGACTCACTGCCGGGGGTCCCGCCGGACAACACTACACCCACAGTTAGTGCAACAACAAACACACTAGTTCGCCCTCGCCTCCGAGCACGGCGAGACCAACACAACGCGTACACAAGGTACACCCGCGTTCCGGGGCGGTTCTCACCGCCCCCAGCCACCGATTAGCTAATTGCACAGTCGACGGCCATCGGGATTTCGGTCCGAACCACGACCTCGATGGCTCTTAGATGACACACCATAGTTAAACGCACGCATGAGCACATGCGTGGCCCTACCCACAGCGGAGGGCCCAAACCTATGGGTTCTGGCTAGCCCATCGGTTCTGCGTCAGATGAAGCTTTAATAGTCTCGGGACTGAAAGCAAAAACATCAGTTAATACAAGATACAAGATACAGCGCCATACAAGAGTCGTGGTCTGTAAAAACTGGCGTTTTGGAGAAGCTCATAATCACACAACGAGCTGTGGAGTGAGCTATGCTCGGAGTTTCTTTGCGTGGATAAAATCCCGACGCCGCTCTGCTACCGACGTAGCTCTCCGGATTTGCAAGTTGAAGTGGCAATGGGCAGGCCACATCGCTCGAAGAATTTATAATCGATGACGACCAAGAACAAGAAGATGTAGCGTTGAAAGGCCTCCCTCTAGTTGGACCGACGACATCGTAAGATTCGCGGGCAATTCTAAGGGAGAGGCCTATGTTCAACACTGGACGTCTTGCGACTGTTGATGATGATTAACAACGCAATAGAACCCAAAACAATGATTGTTAAATTTTTATTTGTTTGTCTGTGCGTGCCAATCTCAGAAATGGCTTAACCGATTTGAGTGCAACTTTCACTAATGCATTGTAGTAAGCTTTACTTATCATTTAGTATTAGTTTTATTTAAATTGGTTCATAAATTAAAAAGTTATTTTAACTTGAAGAACCATATTGAAGATTTGTGCGATAGATCAGTGTCAAGATGAGCCGTGATAGTTCAGTGTCCAGGCGCTCGCCTTTAATTCAATATACTTGAACAACCGGTTCAATCCCCGGTGCTGGCACCAACGATATTTCTGCCAGTGTGTGGCGGTTCCTTCGCGACCCACCAGAGCAAAGTTATTTATTGTTATGATTAAAATGCCATAACTTTGTGAAAACATGATGTATACAATTTTTTTTGTACTGTTAGAATGACCTTTGACCCAACTTCCTTAAGTTCGATTCGCCCCTGGATCTGCTAAATTGGAAAAGCATAACCAGGGAAAGCGGCAGGCCGATATTGACCAGAACTGCTCTAGAAAGTATTTTTAGTAGTGATGAGACAGACAAAAATAAGAGGATATCTCTAATATTCAATATTCAATTCAATATTTTAGGACACATTTTTTTACACAACATTCTCCAGTCCCAAACTAAGCAAAGCTTGTACAATGGGTACCAGAAAACTGATAAATATACTTAAACATACTTCTTTTTGGAAATAAATACATATTATACATATATACGACACCCAGACACTAGAAAAACACCATGTTCATCACACAATATTTTTCCAGTAGTAGGGATCGAACCCACACCCTCTGGCGCAGGAGGCAGGTACACTACCCACAACGCCATCCAATATTATAAAACTGAAGAGTCTATTTGTTTGAACTTTCTCATCTCAGGCTACTATTCCGATTTGAAACATTCTTGCACTGCTGAAACTTACATGCTACCGGAGCAGGGCCAGATTAAGGTCTGGAGGCCTTGGGGCAACAAAGGAGTGGAGACCCTTGGCCCCACTTATTGTCTATTGATTTCTGTTAATATTTAATGTAATCATGTTTGTACAAAGTACTGCAGATAAAAGTAAAATGTGAAAAAAAATATAAAAGGAGAAATGTTGTTTACTAGTCTGAATTTGATTTTTTTTCCGAAGTCTATTGTGGGGGCAACTCGTCTGTGGAGACCCTGGGGCTGCTGCCCTGCTTGCCCTCCCCTAAATATGTCTCTGACCAGTGCAGTGGGTGTAAACCTAGTTATTTAAATATATTTTCCACATACCTTTTTAAAGCACTCACCATAATTAATATAAAAGTAGTAGTAGTCATAATAAGGATATTGTTAACAAAGTTTAGTCATACTAACCAGCCTCTCCAGTCGCCTTTCATTTTCAATTTTCCTTTTATCAGCAGCTTTTATTAAATTTTCTATATATTTTGGTTTCTTATCTTCTTTACTTTTTATTTTCTTTTCTTCTTTTTTGATTGTCATAGAGTCATATATTTCATCATATTGATATACAGTAGGGTCTTCTAACATTGCTTTTTCTTGAGTAATTTTACTCTGCAATTGTGAAAGACTTAAACATAAATAACACATATATCGGTAGTAATTTAAGTTTTCAATTCTAACATTTGGGTAAAAACATTCAATATTTATTTATGTAAGAGTATGAAAAGAGAATTTCTACACTTACTTGTCGGTTTATGTTATCGCTTGGTCTTAGAAGGATTGATTTCTTACTAGGCTCATCATCAGAATCAGAATCATCGCCAAAAACATTATGAGTAGCTTGAAACGCAAGTTGTTTACTCTTTGATTTTTCCGATAAAATGAGTCCGTATCTGTAACAATATAGTATATGTATAGTTTGTTAAGAAAATATTATTTGGACACCACAATCGTAAAATAATAATGCACTTTTTGTTACTCGTCATCGTTTCCAGAATTTATAATTATGAATAATAAACAAAAGTTCCAAGAACAGTAAATACTATTCAAGCATTAATAAATGGAACAAAAGTGCGACTATCGCAGAAAGCGCAACGTGAGAAAACTTGCAAAGGAAATAATCATTTAATTTAAAATATGATCATATTTTATATATTTGAATTAGACGCTTTGTCTCTCACAGAGATGAAACCACGTGAAGAAGAAAAATAAACTGAAACTTGTCAATGTCATCAAATATAAATAAATATGTCATTGCCAATGTCATTATTGCGTTGCGATGACGTTGCATCGTACGCAATTGAACGCTGATACCATCCAGGGCTAAATCTAGGTATGATGAAAAAGATAGTACAAAGAATTTAAAGGATAGTATTTATAAAAAACTTATAGTACACTTTATAATTTTGATTTTAACAGGCATTAATTTACTTCTCTTCCAAGTTTATCATATCTTCAATACAGTAGCGGATTATCCTTAGGGCAAACTAGGCATGTGCCTTTAGGCGCGCGGGCGGAATTGTAAAATAAAGAAATATATATAATATAGCATAAAATTTATTGCGCCAGTAATTAAGCCACCTACTTACATAATAAAAACTATAATTTTTGCTTAGAACCTCAATTTGCTTCAATTAATAACAAAAGATAAACTTAGCAGACGGGACTGACTAAAACTTACGCAATCAATCTTGTCGACGGTACATGATCTTTAGTTGAAGTAGGAAAAATACTACTACAATCCACGACGCGTCGATCACGACTTGTGAGTATCGGAATCGTACCGAGTGTACGCGTTGTGTTGGTTTCGCCGTGCTCGAAAGCGAGGACAAACTATGATGTTTGTTTATGCAGTAACTGCGTGTGTAGTGTCATTTGGCGGGACCCCGACGGCGGGTCCGACGTACTTGAGTACCCTTCCTTAACCGGGTCGATGAGCACGTTGCGCGGGCGACGCTTTGACGTTCTCGTTAGTGTCGGGTTGGTAATTTGGTGCGCTTACCACCAGAGGGTTGGGATGATGTTCGTGGTGAGATCTTTAAAATATTCGCTCGGGAGTCTGCAGTCACCGTACAGGTCGACGTTTGCGCGGTGGATGAACTTGTTTTGTGCTATAACAACTTGCAAAAGTGAGTAGGGTTTGTGTGGGCGCAGGTCATACACGCGTAGGACAATAGGTCTTACGCAGGCCTTATATAATAGTAATTTAAGTAATAGTAATAAGTAGTAGGTTAGGTGATAGTCGGCCGGAGACGAATGCGGCTCTGTTTCTAATATCGTTAATATACTATGTGAACTTCATGCGTGAGGAGAAAGTGACTCCTAGATATTTGGCCGGAGAGTGGTTATCCGTAAAGAGATATTTGCCATGGTTTTCTACATTGGCGAGGGTCTTTACAATGGTGTGACGGGTAACTACTTCGCTACTACTACTTCTTGAATCGCCACATTCTTGTCGGGATTTACTTTTATTCTCCATTTGTGAGCTGATTAAGATTTTTATCTGTGTAAAAGAGCGCCGTGTCATCCGCGAAAAGTGCGAAATGGATGTGTGGGCCTTTTATGTCGCTCGTGTAGAGCATAAAAAGAGAAGGGGAGAGGTAGGAGCCTTGAGGAACGCCCGCTGTGAAAGGGCGGCTCGTAGAAAGGGTGCCCTCTGCTCGATATCGAAAGAGCGATTAAACAGGAAGGCCCGGATGGTGTGCACGAGTCTGTCTGGCACGTTGAGTGCGAACAGCTTGTAAAGCAAGCCAGCCGTTGTGCCAGACCTTGTCCTAAGCTTTTGCGATATCAAAGAAGAGAGCCCCGGGGCTTAGGTGTTTGGGGTGATTAAGGCCTATCAGAATGTGTTCCGTCAAGTGGTATATTGGTCGGTAGAGTGTCTAGCTCGAAGGCTAAATTGTTCAACTAGCATAAGGCCGCTTTAAAATACTAACTCTTTTTGTCTATTTAATATGAGCCACTCGTAGAGCTTCCCCAAGCAATTGAGGAGGCTGATAGGTCGATAACTAGATGGCTTATTAGCGGGTTTCTTCGGCTTGCGAATGCCGATGACAGTGGCCTCTTTCCAGTCATCCGAGAAGGAGCAGCTGGAGAAAAATGTGTTGAAAATGGTCGCCAGTATGCAGAAAATTGGCCCAGGGATAGATGCTGGAGAGAAGTGTGTTGAAAATGGTCGCCAGTATGCAGAAAATTGGCCCAGGGATAGATTTTAAGACTTTATTAATAATTTTATCTGGGCCTGGGCGGATTTAGGTTTGAGATTTTTAATATTAACTTGGACCTCGTCGGGGGTCACTGAGGTTAAAGGTTCGCCTACCTGTGGTAACGCAGCCCTAAGTTCGATTCCTCGATATATGTAGTCACATAAAAATGAAGGTCTGTGTATAGAATAATAGACAATAGACAAAAAGCTGTTCAATTTCAGAAACAGTTATGATGTAACATGTTCATAAAAGAATTGCACAATTTTTGTTTCAGCTCTTCCCGGTATTTTAAACTGGCAGCATAGATTATGGATAACACTCCGAGATTTTCTCAACCACAGAAGTAATGTAGATATTACCAAAATATGTTAAGTGAGGTTCAACACTATGACACAAAAATATGGAATGCAAGAAATTATTTCATTGCGACAGCAACATATCATTTCGAATACACGCAAAAGCTTAGCGTGGGAAGTCTCCAGGTTACAAAGTCTGACAAACATTTTAAGAGTACGTAATTTGTTTAGATAAATAGGTTAAAAATTGCAAACTATTTCATATATTACCAAAAATTTTAACTAATTCTAAAGTGACAATTTCCGGTTTAGAAATGGGTACCAGCAATTAGAACAGAGATATTGAACTACGTTTTCTCAAATTGAAGTATATTTCTGTATAAATATTTTCTTAAGTTCTGTTATCATGGGCTATTGTGATTATAGCCTTACAACGATATAGCAAGTGACAAAAATCCATTTTTTTTTTCGAAACGTATGCTGTAAATAATTTCAAAGTTCTTAACATATTGAATGTACTCAAGAAATAATAGTATCAAATATCATTTGCATCCTTCGTGTACATAGATTATGTACTGATAAATGTTATTCCTTTAGAAAATTACAAGTCTCTTAAAATATATGATTTATTGCAGAATAATATACCACCGGAAATAATCGCCAGCAGCAAGGAGTATGAACTGGCACTTGCTCAATTAATCATAATGTTGACACCAGTCACCCCGCATTTTTGCTCCGAATTGAGTTAAGTATTCGGCGATCGGTATTCCAATAAAAAAAGATTTATTTAATTAATTACAAGGTGTTTACTGTATGACAATTTGGAATGGACTGATTTATAATTACAAAAACTTATAAACTAAAACTAATGCTGTCAGCGTTCCTTCGATGCGCCTTCGCCGTGCTGAGTCTGCAGTAATCGCGGTTATGACGTGCCTACTCCTCCCTCCTTAAGATAGAAGCGAGAGTTGGAGCTTCTAGCAGCGTCCTCGCTGCTGTTGCTATCCTGTGGTAGTCTATTGGTTTTCCACTTGTACAGCTTCCAGATGGCCTCTACACTCAGCAGCCCGTATAATATTAAAGTTGTCCAGCTGGGGGTTGCCATCAGGGTTGTCCAGTTGGATTCATCTTGTGGGATTATGTCATCTATCTTGTTGATGAGTTTGTGGATGCTGTCTAATGAGATATCCTCTTGATGTAATTCAAACTTGATGTGTTCTTGCGTGATGTCGATACAATTATAATATCATCTAAGTATGTGTATACATTATCTATGCCTCTGAGAATATGATCCATTAACCACTGAAAGGTACTTGGGGCGTTCTTTAATCCAAAAGGCATTCGTATGAACTCATAGTACCCTCTTTCAGTGATAAATGCTGTCTTTTCGACGTCCTCTGGGTGCATTTCCACTTGATGGTAGCCACTAGCCAAATCTAGGGTGGTGAAATATTGGGCACGACCTATTCTATCGAGTATGTCATTGATGTTGGGGAGTGGGTACTTATCTTCGACTCATTCACGTCATTCAAACGCCTATAATCGATAACAAGTCTCCATTTGACTTTTCCGGACGCGTCTGGCTTTTTTGGGACAATGTGGACTGGACACGACCACGGAGAGATACTTTCCCTAATTATTCCCTGTTTTAGTAATTTATCGACCTGACTTTGGATCTTTTTGGCTGTTGCGGGGCCTGTCTATAACTTCGGACGAAAATAGGTGTGTCATCTGTCAGTCTGAGTTCGTGTTTAACTGCGTGTGTGAACGTTAATGGTATATTTTCCGAGAAAAATATATTCCTATACCAGTAGCATAATCTGTTTATTTTCTCGTTTTTCCTCTTCATTCATATGTTCAGTACGAATTTTTTTTAATTTTCACATAATTCACGGTCATCGTCAGTCTGTCCTTGTATCTAATTTAATTCACAACTACTGTTTTTATTTAAATTTTCTAAATAAATTTCTAATCTGATAGGGGCTTTGTTTGGGATATTTTTTTTTTCGGTGTTTAAATTAATAACTGATGTTTTTAACGTCCCTTTCTTAACGTTAACTATCGCCGCGGGTGATTTTAAACCGTCAGACCAATAGAAATCATCATGTAAGTACTGTCCGTCCATGTAGTGCGTATTGAATGTCATTAACTTTTCGCATATAGGTTCTACTTTAAGCTTTTGGGATGGGTAGTTAAAATATATCGGTATGTCCGATGTAGAGGTGTGTAACGAGTTATTATTTAAATCAATGTTACTTTTTAATTTTCGCAACAAGTCAAATCCGATTCAGACCTTTGTATTTTGGATCGAAATCAAAAATTAAAAATTTATGCGTAATATTACTATTAAACGCGGGTAGTAATGGCAGTTGAATACTGTTGTGGTACTTACTCACCTTCGTTGAAGTATGGTTGCATATAGTTATTCATGTGACTGGGAGTGTAAAAGAGCTCCTCAGCGGTAAACTGCGGTCTCGGAGGCTT